AGACTTGAAAAATGTGGTATAAACCATTGATAATAATGAGTCCCAAGAAGGAGCGTAGCTGTTTGCAGGTATGAGGTTCCTGAAATCGTCTTATGGCTTCGATCTTGTCGGTCAGGGGGTGTATTGTTCCCCTGCCTACCCGAAACCCGAGGTATGCCGTTTCTCATCCTGCTAACTTGCATTTCTTGGGATTGGCAGTCAGACCCGCTGCTTGGAGTTCTCCCAGGACAGCTCTCAGGGCTTCAAGGTGCTGGTGCCAACTGGGAGTAAATATAATGATATCGTCGATATATGCTGCTGCATACGATGTGTGTGGTGCAAGCAAGGTGTCCATCAGCCTCTGGAAGGTGGCTGCTGCTCCGTTTAGGCCAAAGGGCATCCATATAAACTCGAATAAACCCCAAGAGGTTCCAAAAGCGGTCTTGGTGCTATCCACAGGGCGCATTGGGATTTGCCAGTACCCTTTGGCCAGGTTGAGAGTAGATATGTACTGTGCTTCGCCAATCCTCTCAATGTGGTGGGTAATGTCGAAGGGAAGGTGTCGAAGGTCATCAAGGCATTTAGCTTCCTAAAGTCTACACACAGATGCAGTGACCCATCGGGTTTGGCCACCAGCACAATGGGGCTACGCCAAGGGCTCCGGGATGGTTGTATAATTCCCTGTCTCTGCATCTTCTTTATCTCCTGTCGTATTTCCTGCTGCTAATGCTGGGGTATCGGCCTCCACCTTTCCCTAACCAGCGCACCAGGGGGAGTTCTGATCTCACGTTCAATTCCCATCACTCATCCCAGGGTTTCTTGGAACACTGCCCAGAAATCCTCTAAGTCCAACAGCTCCTGTTGTTGCTGGCTATCCAGCTCTTTGCTCGTTTGCACTGACTCTTCTCCTGTGGATTCACTTAACTCGAGGCTGGGCAGTCCTAGGTCTTTCCCCACCTCCTCTTCTTATGCCATCCAGCCCTGTGGGGTTTTCTACTCCTTAAGAAGGTTCACATGATAAATTTGGTGTTCCCGGCTGTGGCCCGGCTTAAGCAATTCATAATCTACTGGACCCACTTGTCGAACTACTCTAAACGGGCCTTGCCACATTGTGAGATGCTTGCTCGAGGATGCCGGAAGCGACACCAAAACCATATCTCTGGGCTGGAAGGCCTGGGCTCTTGTCTTCTTATTATAGTGGGTTTCTTGTTGCTCTTGAGTGGCCCTCAAATTTTGGCCCGCGATCCGTTGGGCCTTGGTGATCCGGTCCTGCAATTCTTGGCGGTATCTTTCCACAGATATTGCTAACCCTACCGGCCATTCCCATTCTTCCCTGATGACCTGTAACAAACCCCAAGGGTTGTGCCGTATACTAACTGGAACGGGGAATACTGCGTTGACTCTTGGGGGGCATCCCTCAAGGCAAACAACAACGGTGTTAAGATGGTATCCCACCTGTGGGGGTTTTCCTGCGAGAACCGCTTGAGCAACCGCTTGGTCATCACATTTAATCTCTCCACTAGACTGTTCGTCTGGGGATGGTACACTGATGTCTTTAACTGGGTGAGGCTAAGGGTTTTACACAGGGCTTTCATCATGCCAGACATGAAATTCGTCCCCTGGTCAGTGAGTATTTCACGTGGTATGCCAACCTGTGCTATCCATTTAAGCAGTTCTTCTGCTACTCGCGTTGCTGTAATAGACCTAAGTGGGACAGCCTCCGGGAACTGGGTGGCATAATCCACTAAAACCAATATATATTGATAACCATTGTGTGACTTCGGGGGAGGGCCCACTATATCCAGCGCAGTTTGGGAGAATGGTGTCTCTATTATCGGCATAGGGTGCAATGGCGCCATAGGTGGTCTCCACTCCTGAGCCCTTTGGCACTCCGGGCAAGCGGCCCCCAAACTTTCCACGTCCTCTTGCAGACGTGGCCAAAAGAATTCTTGGACCAGCCTAGCCTGGGTCTTGGTGCATCCCAAATGGCCTCCCATTGGGGAGTCATGAGCCAATCTCCACATGGAGAGGCCGAGTGAGGACAGGACCACTAACTGTCTACCTTTCAAGGTGCCTTCCTTGACCCGTTGGACCCGCTATAATAACCCCCCGATTACCTCAAAGTTGGAATGACTTCGCGACGTTCCTTCCCCGGAGTCTTCGGTCCATAGCTGCTGGAGTTCTGGGTCTTTTTGTTTGGCCTGACGGAACTGAGCTTCACTAACCACCTGCTCCAGGGTAATACTGCCTGATGCCACTTCCCTCTGGTGAGATGGGCTTTCACCAGCCCAGCCTTCTCCCCTCCGGAGCCGCTTCCTTTCTTCCTCTGTAGCTCGTACCCATTCGAGCACTGTGTAGAACGGTCCCCATTCTCTTCTGAGGATCATTTCACAGGCTAAGGCAGGTGCCAGTCCAACCCGCAGTTCGCCACAGAACTCCATCACCCTAAACGGCAGATAACAACTCCGAAATGCACCTCACCGCCCAGTATACACGTCATTGTTATGGGTCCAGCCTCTTTCCCCCCTGTCCACGGGGCAAGATCTGCGCAGAGTAGGGACTGGGAACACCCCGTATCCAGGGTTTGCTCTGACTGCATTGCCCCCGAATCAGGCGGTTACCACGGGGCGGTTCCATCTTCCTTCTTGTGCGACGAGCCCAAAACTACAATCCATGGGCTCTCCCCTTTCCATCTCTTTGCCTTTCTCACGGGGCAGGGTATATACAGCTGGCCCGCAGCCCAGCTCACTCAGGCCCAAACCACATTCCCGGGAGATGTGCCCCGTTTGCCCACAGCGATAGCACACCAAACCTCTCGATGCCTCTCTTCGTGGACCCAGTCTGCCTTTCCCCTTCACTCACCAGGCTCTCCTTCAAGGCCCATGAGCCTCACCCGTACCCTCTCTCACTTTCTGAGTTAGTGAAGGCCACCATCCAGGTGGAGGGCCTCCTCGCTGGTCTGCGGTTGGTGTCTCCATACCCACCTCTGGGTGTCTTCTTCCAAGTCCCAGAAAAACTGCTCTAATAAGATCTGGTCCATCACCCCCCCCGGTCAAACCTTCTGGCCGGTAACCATTTATTTAGTGAATCCTGAAGAGACTGCAACAAGCCGTGGGGCCGCTTAGCTTCTTTTGGTTTTTGTGCTCTAAATGCCTGCCTGTGACTTTCTGGGGAAATTTCCAACTTATAGAGGATCGCCGCCTTGACAGCCTCATAATCTCGGGTGTCCTCCCTCGACAGGGCCCAGTAGGCAGCTTGGGCCTGATCTATCACCAAGGTGCCTAACTGGTGGCCCCACTGACTGTGATCCAGCCCTGTCTGGATAGTGGTCCTCTCAAAGGCTTCTATGTAAGCTTCAGGATCATCTTCCCATGTCATTCGGGGCATCTTGAATAGGGCAGCATTGCGCTGCATCCACTCTTGCTGGTGTGCCCCTTGCAACTGTTGCACCTCCAGCACTTGCCATATGGCCTGAATAGCCTGTGTAAGTAGTTCCACGTGGGCTATCGCTGGTGGTTGCATCTGCACTTGTCCCCGGGTCAGGATCTCTGTCCCACTGATGCCGAAAAATTCCCGGCCAATGCACCACTGTGATGAAACACAGTTAATTACTCAATTACTTGAGTCTGCTCAGATATACTGTAATTACAGCTTGTTGGAACAGCCTTGCTGTGTGTGTATAGGTGCCCTTTGTGTTTGTGGAGAGTGTCAGGGGAGTCTTTGTCCCAGAGAACATCTCTTTTCAGGACCTGTTTTCCAGAATGGCTGGGTTCTATTCTCTTCGTAGATGAAACTGGTTAAACACATGGTTTCTCTCTGTCTTTCCCCCCCAACAAACACTCATATGTGTTTATAACATTTAATAGCAGGGTTGACTGATTCAGCTTGTGCTGGAGGGATAATGCCCTGAGATAACGAGATGGAGGATTGCTGAGGAGTTGGACTTGTACTGGGAGTAGGACAATTTGGTAAAAAACAGTGGTGCCCACTTTTGGCTCCATAGGCCAGAGGAGTGATGGCAAAAGTGTCTGTGCCCACATCCATTCCTTGAGCCTTCTGGAATGCATGTAGCTAAGGACTGCTTTGACTGCAGCTGTGCACCAGATCAGGCCTCTCTACCCCAACCACAGCCCCAGGTGTACTGGATTGGGTGATCCCTTCCCTAGTCCCACTTGCACTGGATCTGACCCTCTGCCTCAGCCCCATCCATGTGCACACCAAATCATAGATTTCATAGATATTAGGGCTGGAAGGGACCTTGTGAGATCATTGGGTCCAGCCCGCTGCACAAAGGGCAGGAGTCAGCTAGGATCAGATGACCCCAGCAAGATAAGCATCTTGGTATCCAGAGTAGGTTCTTGCACCACTTCTGGGGGGAGTCTATTCCAGACTCTGGAGACTCGGGTTGTGTGTAGATGAAACAAAATTTCCCATTTACATCAATGCAACTGCGTTTGTGTTTGCATGACCCGGGATTTCCCACCACTTTAAAGTCCATTTAGTATCTTAAACTAACACTACTCAGAGATGTTTTAATTTGCGGAGCTTTCCTGTTACCCTGCTCCAACTGAATTTTGTTCATGAAAAGAACCAGAGACTCCAAAGATTTCTAATTAATCCCCTTCACCATGAGGAGACACTGCGTTTCAGCCTCTAGCCAGCAGGTGTCGCTCTGTGTGTGTGTGTGTGTGTGGGGGGGGGTGTGTGTGTGTGTCTCTGGCTCAGCCCTCCCCGCTTCTTAATCTGTGTGTGTGTGTGTGTGTGTGTGTTCTGGGTTTTGGTTTTGTTGGTTTGGTTTTTTTTACCCTCCTTCACCCCTCCCTCCTTCCTCACAGCACCTCACAGTTCAGGTCGGAGTGTGTGCGCTTGCTTGCTGAGGCCAATTTATTATTATTTAAAAATGGGGGAGAGAAATAATCATATAATTTTCTACCCCCTCTTTATTGTTCGCCCCTGACCACCTATAGCCTATGTCCTCTCCCCCCTTGCCCATGTACCCTCCTGTACTCCTGCCCCACCAGGTACCCTCCATTTGCAACCCCCACACTGTGATGCCAATACAGTGGCCATAGCTCCTGATGACATCTGCAGTATCAACAAAATGGTAAGTTTTTTGCAAGTAGTTTGAAACTCTGGAGGAGTGAGTGGTTACATGACTTCTTTCTGTGCGGGCCGGGAGCGGTCCGAGGCTTTCGGGGGCGCGCGGCGGGCTGTGGCCGGGAGCCCGCAACGGTAGGGCGGGTACTTTTGCACGACGGACTAGAATTAGGCACGGACTCATAGCGGTTTATTAAAGATTGTTTTACTTACACCGTATGTGGTCGCGGTGCAGGCAGGAAAAACTTTCTTGAGTTGCAGTTACAGACAAACACAAGTGGAGTTTGCTAGGTTCCACCGAAGACACACACACGGAGTTTGCTAGACTCCGCGAAAACAAACACGACAGAGCTCTGGATACCCTTGACGAGCGCGCAAAACCGTAGATACGTCTTAAGAATTTAACGAATGAGACGGGAAGAGGTTGGTGGTTGATCAGGCCGCCAAACTCCTAATCGCTAGCCGCCACGTGGGAATAATTTAGAAACAGCCAATAGTGGGAAACAAATTTACATACGGGTGGCGGGAACTCCTTTGCACCGGGGTTTTCTCTCTGCAGCTGAGAATTGCACCGTGCAAGCTCCATGTGGCAGGAAATAATTCTGCAGTGCCGAAGCACACACACAATCATTGGGTCATGACACTTTCAATATTGCAAATCTACTGAACTTCATTACATTCCATTTCAGAGCCATGATCAAAAGTCCAAGGGCAGCAGGACACTGCCTGCCAGATCTGACACCCAGGGTATGCAGCATCTTGGGTGATATTTAGGTAATATGTCCCACCAACCTTGTGTGTGTGGGGAGGGGGGGAGTGGCAAAAATCCAGTTTTTCGACTGTGCACCAAGCTCCTCCTCCTCTTCCTTTTCTTCCCTTTTCCTCCCTCCTTGTAGAAAACTGCTGAGGGTGGAACTTGCTGGGGACGGCAACCAGCCCAGAGCCCAGTGGAAAGAGAATGGAGTGAAGATCCTGAACAATTTTTTTACATTTTGTATTTATTGTATTGCATTGTGAAGTTGTATATAGCTATTGTTGCTGCAGCATTTTCAGTAAAATGTTTTATTTTTGTTTTATATATGTGTCATGTTTTCTTTGGGGTGGTTGGGTTGGTTTTCGGAGACCGCACCCACCTCATATTGGTGGGGATGCTGTGCTTGGGGGGGATTTTGTGGAGTCATGGCATTACTGGAAAGAGTTGCAAAGAGTTGCAGGGTGGACCATTATTGGAGGGAGGGAGGGAGGTTGAATGCTTGTTAAGTGCTAGCTAGGGTGCGGTGCAGCCAGCATGTCTTGTAAGAAAAAAGACTAAACAACTCCACCACCCCCAGTGGCAAGCAGGCAATTTGCAAAACTTGTCCATGCATGGACCTCCCAGGGCTTTTAGCCTTTAGCAGGGTGGACTGTTATTGTATAGAGGGTGGTCAATGCTTGGCCAGCGCTAGTGTGCAGCCAGCATTTTCTTGCAAGAAAGAAGACTAAGTAAACCCACCCACAAAGCTTAATTAGGGAGGGGTCCCCTCAAGTGGGGGCCCCCAGGCATGGTTGGGGCCCCCTCAGGTGGAGATGAATGGCCCAACTCATCTGGCTGGCTGAGTCAGGCCATGCTACTCTCCATTTCACTTTGTAACTTTAGAATCTTTGCTGGGAACAAAGCTCAGGGAAGGGGTCCCCAGGTGGGTGGGTGGGTGGGTAGGGGAGAGGGATGGAGGGAGACATCCTGGCACCCCTTCTTGGTTACTGAACATGTCCCATCCCAGCAGGAAGATGGTTGGGTCAAGGGGGGGCATGCATGGACCCCCAGGGGACCCCCAGGCATGGTTGGGGCCCTTTCAGGTGTAGATGAATGGCCCAACTCAGCTAGCTGGCTGAGTTGGGCCATGCTACTCTCCATGTCACATTGTAACTTTGGTGTCTTTGCTGGGAGCAAAGCTGAGGGAGGGACGGGGCCCCCAGGTGGGTGGGGGAGAGGGATGGAGGGAGGCAGCCTGCACCCCCTTTCCAGTTACTGAATATGTCCCATCCCAGCAGGAAGACGGCTGGGTCAGGGGCGAGGGGCTGGCATGGTCGCAAAGGGTGCCCCCTCGGGTGGGGACCCCAGGCATGCTCTGCTAGGTTCAGGGGAGAAACTCAAGCCTCATCAGCTTCCTTAGTGGAAGGAAGCCTCAGCTTCTGCCATTGCAGTGGTCCTGGCTCCCCAGGAGGAGGGCAAGAAGCTTGCTTTGTGGCCAGCAATGACTGCAAAGTTACAAGGGTGCAATGGAGAGGTGTAAGGCAGAGGGAAAGCAGGGTGAAGAGGCTACTACCCAGAACATGGAGGTCTTGGCCAGCAACCAAGAAGAAGGCCTCCGCAATTCAGAGGAGAAACTCAAGCCTCATCAGCTTCTTTAGTGGAAGCCCTCCTCCCCTGTGACCCAGGCCATCTGCAGCAAAGAATGAAATGCATTTGCATAACTTGTTCAGCTCATACTTATGCAGGACATGGCCAGTAACCAGGAGGAGGGTGAGAAGACTATATGAAGTGGGCCTGGAGAACTTGTGCAAATCAAGCTGATGCTTGGGTCAAAGTGCCTCAGCTTCTGCCACTGCAGTGGTCCTGGCTCCCACGGAGAAGGGCAAGAAGCAGGCAGGATTTTCCCCACCCAGCAAGAAGCTTTCCCCCAGCAGTGATTCCAAAGTTACAAGTGTGCAATCGAGAGGTGTATGGCAGACAGCAAGTGGGGCAAAGAGGTCTTGGCCAGCAACCAAGAAGAAGGTATCCGCAATTCAGAGGAGAAACTCACCAGGAGGAGGAAGTAATACAAGTTCAGGAACCAGGAGGTGGGCATTTCCTTCACCCCCATGATGAAAGAAGGGAGGGTGGGTGCATAATCACCTGCCTTGCACTCAGTATCTGTTTTCTCATCATAAGGAATCAAACTATAATTATAAGTCACAGGGCAAGCGGGGTGAATAGCCTACTACCCAGACCACAGAGGTCATAGCAGAAGGGCGAGAAGACTATACGAAGTGTCATATCATATAGGGTCATATTTAGGAGCACAGATGGCTTTGTTTTTCAGCAATGATTCAAAAGTTACAAGGGTGCAATGGAGAGGTAGGTGCAGAGGTAGGTAAGTGGGTTGAAGAGCCCACGGGCCTGGGCCTACTGCCCAGACCCTGGGAGGGAATTTGCCAGAGGTCTTGGCCAGGGCTCAAGAAGAAACCCTTCACATTTGTGGCCAGGAGCAATCCTCTAATTACAATTCCATAATACACTGATTAGCAAACAGGGCCATCAATCAGGAGGAGGGTGAGAATAATATGAAATGGATCTGCAGAACTTGTGCAACTCTTACCATACTCGAATTTGTATTGGTGCCTCTTGCGCACCTCAAGTACATTCCTTCATGCTCCTAAAATTCCACCAACCCCGTTTACAATAAATTTGAACCAAATGATGCCCACCACCTGCCAGCCAGAGCTGACCCTATCAGGGTGCAGGGCAGTGGCATACCAATGGTGGCAGGTGGTGCGGCTGTCCCAGCATGGACATGAAGGGGGTGTCACCACTCCATGCTGCTCTCCCTCCCTCCCCCGTCATCAAAACCACTGCAGAAGGGGTCTTGTCTGGGGCAGGTGCATGTGGGAGTGAGGGCAGCGGCACCCCAGCCTTATCCCCTAGGCTCCAGAGACCCACATTACGCCACTGGTGCAGGGTCTTGGGCAAATTAACACCCCCCTGCGCAGAGCCAATCCCGCATGCCACGGCAGTAGGGGAAAGGAGTTGGCAAGTGTCCAGATGCGAGGCTGGTGGTGGCGCTGAGGAGTTGCCCTGTCCACTCTGCCCATCTCTGCGGGTCCCCCAAAGCTCTGTGCTTGGGGTGGTTGCTTGTATTGGCACTCCCTGGGGACTACCCTCAGGGCACAGACAAGTGTCAGATGTCACTTACCAAAGGTGGCATGTAGCACATCGCCATGTTCTATTTCGAGTCACATGTCACAGAGGCGTGGGCATCAAATAGCACTCAAAGCTTCAGTGCACCCTACTTGATCAGGCTGTAGTCTTCTCAAACCCTGGATTTGCATTGCTGTGCCTCCCAGGAGCAAGTTTTGTTACTGGGATGAGTCGTTCTCTGCCCCTGCTGTGCTGTGATCCCTCACCTGCCTCAAACCTCCCTCAATGATACTGTGAACACGCACCCTGAGCTCTGCTCCCCCAATTTATAGTGGTTGAGCAGGGCAACCCTCCCCCTCTGGCAGCCTCATTTTGGTGTGGAAAAAAAACCCAGACAGTCTGGCACTGGGCTGGAAAAGAGCACGAAAAGAAGGTGGAAAAGTTTGCAAATTCCCTTGGTTTGTGTGCAAGCAAAGTAGGTTTTAAACCCCACGCTGCCCGTCGCCCCACACAGCCTCCCTTTGGTGTTCCAAAACAAAGGAGACAGTGCCTGGCACCTGGCTGGAAAGGAGCACGAAAATAATTTTGAAAAAGCACATTTTCAAAGTTTTGATCTAGAGAAAATGCAAGAAAGGGTTGTGCAGAGTGAGCCAAAGAGCCTGAAGGCATGACCCCCTGACTTTTCAAAGTGGCTGGTGGCTTGCAAAAAAGCAAGCCAGACTGCTGTGGGGTGACACACCATCCAGCCACTGCAAAATGCTGGTGTGCAGGCTGGCACTTGTGTGTTGCAACCCACCCAGGCAGCCCCCCTGTTTACCTGAGCAAGAGAGATTGCCAGCCCCTCCCTCATGGCACCCTGTAGGAAGCAGCAGGAAAACCAGAGGGAAATGAACCCAAACAACGAATGAAATCCATCTTCACAACCAAGCAGTGTAAGGGTGGATATGGAGGCAGATACAGGAAGCCAGGAAACCATGAGGTTTTATTGTTTGCAACACAGTATTATAAGCAGTTACTTGTGCTTCTTTGTCTTCACCCCCATGGCCCTGAGCCCTGTCTCCCAGAAATGCAGTGGCACCCTCCTGGCCCTACTGGCAGCCATATGGCCCTCCTGTGACCCCACTGAGTTAGGGGGAACAGGTTCAGCTGTAATTCTCTGCTCATCTTGCACAGAGGCAAGACGAACGGATTGACTTTTCCCTGTGGGCATCATATCCCTTTATTTAGGTAGTTCTGCAGACTCTGAAAGGCATCCTTGAAAGTGTCATGTGACCTCTGGTGTGTACTTGGTAGCTGTGTTGGTCTGAGACAAAAAGACATACAAAAAACTAGAACTCTTGGTTCCAAGATGATACCTTTTATTAGACCAACTGGAAAATGGCAAGAAAATTGTCCTTTTCTGCAAGCTTTCGGGAATCAAAGTCCCTTCGTCAGACTCTGGGAAAAGTGTAGATGGTACAAGATAGTAAAAAGTCCCCATAGGTCAGAAATAAACTTCATTTTGAGTAGCTCTTTGATGTGTTTATCAGGTAGAAACATGGAAGATGCTGAATTTCAGCTGATTTTGAATTTAAACTTAATTGCAGAACAACAAGGAAGTTTTTTTGCCTCCCTACCTACCATCTGACACCTCCAGGGAAGGAATTCTACCTGATCAACACATCAAAGAGCTACTCAACACAGCTCACAAAGACATTCTCATGGACCCAGAGGGACAGACTTCCATCTTCAGCTCCCTCTGTGCAAAAATGAAGTTTATTTCCGACCTATGGGGACTAGAACAAGAGTTTTAGTTTTTTGTATGTCATATGACCTCTGTAATTCAACATGGGACTTGTCGACCACTTCTTTCAAATTCCGAATGGTGTCATGCAGTTCCTCGAGGATGGTATCTGCCTTATGCAGTGACTCATGGAGTTCATCCCGCCAGGCATCTTTACATTCCATTCTGGCTACTGAGGACTCCACCAAAACTTCAAGCGAGGTTTCACAGAACTGTTTCTGCTTGCTGTGAAAATCTCTGCAGTGCTCTGCTGTAGTGTGAGCGGGGCACTGTTCCTGGCAGCCATGGGTCGTGGTGGCTGATAAACAAAGA